ATAAAACATGTGTCACAGGCTGCGAATATCAGTTTTGATTTTCGGGGATATGTGTCTACCCGGTTGACCTGACCTTGACCCTGACCTATGCTTGACTGACCCCTACATGGAGCTGACACTCTTGTAGGCCTTATATGATGGATTGTGCACCGTTTTGACAGAGTTTATGACGGGAGGCGCCCATTGTGAAGTCCTGAAGTCCATGCTACTGAAAGTCCGATTTCAGGTGTTTGACCTGACCTTGACCCGACCTGTGACCTCAAAATTCAACTTTAAAGTACTCATCTGAAGCGTCTCGTCGCGTTTTTTCGTTTGCCGCCTCGTGCGTTTCGCTGCGCCTATTGGTTCTCGAGTTATCGGCTGGGGGCGTTTAACGCCCCCCCCCCCCCCCCCCAGCAAACGGTGGGTGGCGAAATACCCCAGCAACTGCCGGGTTAAGGACCTGCATCGGCTCTGAGGGCTCAACTTGGCCTTTTCTGGACTCTGGGGTCCAACACCAGCCCAAGCCTGTCTGAAACAGACTCTTTCCGCAGTCAGGAAATCGCATGCGAGAGCCTATTCAAATACATGGAAGCACGCTCGCATCAACCGCACGCACCTCCCGGATGCGATTGATGCGGGAAGAATTAGGGGAAAGTGGGTGTATTGCGCCCTCCTAACCAATTGCGCCCACCAACATTCCCACGGATTCAATGGCATGTTTAAAATTTTGTGTTCGAAAACATTATTTTCACTACTGGATTGTTCATTTTATGGCCCAAACACTCCGATGAAGCCAATCAGCAAGGCTCATTACGCCATCAAAGATGTTATGGCGTTTTCTTAACTTTTTTGCAGTACTTTGAACCGTTGGCTATAAAAATTTACGTTATTTGTGTGATTTTCAGAGCGATATTTAGAAAGAAAAACCCTTTTTTTACTGTATTTCACTGAAACCGTAAACTTCCTGCAACATCTTAATGATAACTTCCATGCTTTTATTAAAAAGTACCTCAATTTTAATTGCGCCCATGGCAATTGCGCCAGGGGGGGCGCAAATAGAATAATGGTGTAGCCATTGTATCACGACAGTATGGATGCATCATTAACTGACTGCAATAAAGAAGGAGTTTAATGTCAGGCAAGGGAGCAGCCCGCTCTCGTCAGTCCGCAAATTATCTCTGTCGTCAAACTTATAATGCAGCTGCCATTTAGGCTACGCCTTGTAGTGTAATTGACAAAATACGACATTTTCAACATGGACTCAGGCGTGAGAAGTGACAGCTATGATGAAAAAGTAAAGACTGATGTCATTAAGTTGTCGAAACGATAAAAATTATTAATTTTGAGAGAACCGATTGAAAATTTAACTGTATAGGCGCATAAGTTCACATATATCTAGTCGGTTACAGTAAACGTTTTCGTTGCACTTTTACAAGCGTACGGACACACGTAAAGTTATCTACCTCGGCAAAAAACATCGCGATTTATATCTACATTTATTATTCATCCAGCCTGAATAACATTATAAATGTTTAAGTAAGCCGCAATGACATTAGACTGCCGGGGTGTATGCATTCCGTCTCATTCACTTAGCCATGTTAAAGTATAGGGCGCAATTGGGTTCTAATTGCGCCATCCCCCTGGCGCAATTTACAGCAGTTGTTGGCAAATGCGCCCTTTTGCATGTTTCTGAAAAAGCAGCTGTCATAAGCAAACGAAACATTCTTAATTGATCGGGAGGCTCTTAAATCGTAGCCAATGAGCTCCCCTTTGAAATGGTTACCAGTACATGCTTATATCTCCAGCACTTTTCTTGCAATTAACGTTTTTCCTTAAGGTGGCGCAATTCACCCTCCTTCCCCTACAATGTATTTGAATAGGTTCTCGCATGCGATTTCCTGAACGCGGAGTGGGTGCCACACTGACCCCTGAGGGTCCCATCCTTGCCTCAAGGACCCGCATTAGCCTTTGAGAGCCTAAGTCGGCCTCTGATGGCCTCAAACTGCCATTTTCAAGCCCTGTACTGGTCTCTGAGGGCCTTAAACTGGCCTCTGAGGGCACAAACCGACCTCTAAAGGTCCCACACCGGTTGCTGATGGCCCATTTTCTGCCTCTGAGATCCAAGACTGACCCTTTTGTGCCTCTGAGGGCCCGTACTGGCTTCTGAAGGATCGATACCGGTCTCTGAGGACCAATGTCAGTCTTATAAGGGCCTCACACTGATATCTGAGGCCCACATTTGCCTCTGATGGCTCCAAATTGAGGCCCTATTTAGTCCCCAATCAGCCTATAAGGTCTCTGATGGCCCTATTTTGTTGTCTGGCTGGGGGCCCATGGCTTACACCTTTAGGCGTCACGCACTGGCCTCTGAGAGACCACATCGGCCTCTGGGGTTCCATACGGGCCTTTGAGGCCGCTATGGCCATGGCCTCTGTAAGCTAGCACCGCCCCCCCCCCCTCCGAGGGTTGGCAAAGTTGCCAAGTTGCCCCCACCCCCAAACGCCAAGTCTGCTACCGCCCCTGCATTCAGATGCATCCATTGTAAAAAAAAAATAACTTGCACTGCAGTGATTGGGGGCTGGGGCACTGGCTGCTAGCAAGTTTTTTTTTCTCGGGAAACCGAAGTGGTAGTTCCTACCGGACGTCTGGCCGGACCTTTATTTTTGCATTTGCTTCTGGGTGGGCAAATCGACGCCACTGGGTGGGCAATTGTGGTGACTGGGTAGGCATTTGCCCACCCAGTGGGTATGTTAAGGAGGCCCTGGTGCCACGTGAAAAGTCAAGAGTGTTCAAGCAGTTTTGCAAAAGTAATGATTTTGAGAGGCCCATATCTCATCAGCGGCTTGAGCGATTGTCTTGCGGTCATTTTTATAGGGTAGCTGCATCCCTTCTACCAAAGGTAGGATACTCTTCATCTATGTGAGTGACCCCCACTGCACGTGCAAAATACAACAATAAGAGGTGCCAAATTTGTTCCCATTTCAGTAACTCGGTAATTACTGGGGCGATTTCGCTGAAACTTGGCATACAGGTAGGCACCCACCAGGCAATGCATTCCCATGTGTTGCGGTTAGGGTGCTACTGCACGTGCGCACGTGCAGGGGGCGTTTCCAGATCTCGAGAACGGCTGGGCCGATTGCGCTCAAATTTGGTACACGGTTGGGGACCGGTTAGTAGGGTGCCGTGCAAAAGTCATTTTGGACCCCGTTTGCACGTGCGCACGTGCAGAATGCCGCTTCCAGATCTCAGGAACGGCTGGGCCGATTGCGTTCAAATTTGGTACACCGCTAGCGACCGGTTAGAAGGATGCTTTGCACAAGCCCGTTGGAGTACCCTCTCGCCCTTCTGCACGTGCAGGGCTCACTATCTCGCTCGCTCGTTCTTCGCCCAAAAGGCGTTTTACTGGTGTATAAGATGTTTATCTCGGAATGTTGATATCTGTGACCTGTCCTAACCCTCGTCGGCACAGGGGGGGGGGGGTTGATGCAACCCCCTAAGGTTTTTCGCAAATAACTCGCGTAAAAAGCGGCCGATCGCGACGAAACTTTCAGTACCCTCGCATTGATCAATTTTACACCAACCCTGAAAATTTCATGACCCTGACCCGAATGACCTTTGACCTGTGACCTCTTTTCCGAGACCACGTTTGGCCGGAATCGCGATTCGGCGTATGTCGGCTCGCATTAGCCGCGCGTTTGCAAGCTTTTCGTGGTTTCAAACGTTGAAACATGTGATTTGATGCTGCTCACATGCATTAGGGTGGGTGTCAAGTTCACCTGAAGGTCAGGTCAGGTCATTGACCTTTGATGACCTCGGTTCACTTCTTCGAGTTTTACATGTTTCTAGGCTATTTTTTTGGAGCTGATTTCGAGTTTAGCAACCATTTGAACATTTACGAATTAGTTTTGGCACCCCGGAAAACCCTATAACATCCACACTTTACGACTTTCTAACAGGTCCGATATTCCCGATTTTCGGGTCATTGACCTGACCTGAACCCGATGACCTAGGACCTGAAAATTGGATATCATCGGCTTCCTCTCGTGACGGGAAACACGCTCGTTTATCCGCGAAGCTCTAGCTCGATCAAGGGCCAAACGCGAGGGGGGTCGTACCAACACCCCCCCCCCCTTGAGCAGTCGAAGGACGCAAAATGGCCTGTGCCGGCGAGGGCTAAGGTCAGGTAAATTTTGCGACCTCTTCCTTATCTATATGTCAGTGGGAGAAAATTGATCACACTGAATCGGAAAATTGCACCTGTGACCATTCCATGTGCCTCTGAAGTCATCTCATGTCATGATCACCAACAGTTTTTTCTATAACTTTTGATGGAGACGTGCAAGAGCGGCAACAGCTCGACGATACGGATTGGCTGATATTCAGTATGACCTTTTACATTCAGGTCATGACCTTGATCTGAGGTCAAATTTTCAAAATGACTTTTCAAGGTTAACTTATGGTGCATTCGACGCGTATCGACGAGAGGAACACGATGCTGGCAAAAGTAACGTGTCGTGGCTCTGTTGAGTCAAAAGTTATTACCGAAAAGACCTCAGATTTGACCTTGAAAATTTGACCTCAGATCAAGGTCATGACCTGACTGCAGGAAAGGGTCATGCTGCATATCAGCCGATTTTCGTAAAGACGGCTATTTTTAGTTTTTGCCCTCTAGAGGCTAAACCGTTGACCTGAGGCCAAATCTGAGAACAATGCTCAAAAAGGCCTGTGAAAGAGCCATCGAATGCGCTTTCCCGCGGCGCTGCAGCTCCCGAACTATGCGTCAGGTGTTTCGAAAATTGTTGAAATAGACAAAATCTGACCTTCGATGACCTCTGGTCACTTGACCTTTGACCTGACCTAAAAATTAGTTCCGTCATTATTTTTGACGCTCTTTCGAATGTCGCTTACCGCGTGTCGCTACGTGACCCGTAGCCAGGAGCCGAGTTAGACGGGGCGTGACGCCCCTCCCCCCACCATGCATGACACAGAAAACTCAGACCAGGCCAGCACGGCGCGGGTTAAAATCAGGATGCTTTTATTGGTAATTGGTTCGCCAGATACATGCAAGTAAATTCATAAAGTTTATGACACGTAAAAACGTTTTTTGCACACCGCACAGGGGAATCAGATAGGTTTACCTATCTATCATCTATGTAAGTACATTAGGCTGCTTTATTTAATTAAATGACATACGTGTTGAAGAGATAATAAAAAATAGCACACAATCATCTAACTGGCCCCTAATAGTATCATATGACATATCGTAAAGAAGTGACGATAGTTTTTTTTTTGCTACCAATCATTAGCGCAAACACGTGCGAAGCTCGTAACTACGGACTTATAAGATCTCCACAAGTCGAAAAATATTTCTGAGTAGACGGTTGCACAAAATAGGATTTATGTCAATCACCATTTTTCTTCTTCATTTCTTTTCTTCTCTGGCGCTGTCTTACCTACCTGGCTACCATATTTCATAATCGTTCTCATATTCCTGCTCAACTTCTTCTAGTTCCCGTATCATTTCATCCACTTCGGTTTCCGCTGCCTTTTCTTGCGCTGTGTCCACCACCTCCTCCTTCGGTTCCGGCATTTCCTCCTGTTTCTCTTCCACTGAGTCCAGCCTCTGGTCCTCCTCTGCCAGTTCCTCCCAGTTGATGTCGAGCATCTGCTCCACCTGCCTGAGCCGCCGCTGGGTGCCCTCCAGGCGCCGCAGCAGCTGCTGCTGACCGGCCACCAGCCGCTCCAGCTCGGCGCCGAGCGCGGCCACGCTGCGCGAGTGCTGCCGGCCCAGCCGGAGCGCCACCACGCGCAGATCCGACTCGGGCAGACAGCTGATGTGGCTGAGGGACCAGAGACCGCCGCGGCACTCGGCGGTGGTGCGCTGGCTCTCGGGGTACAGCTGGTAACCGGCCGAGCACTGGTACTCGGTTACCGCTCCGGAGCGGGTGCCGTTGCTGGACACGGTGGTGGCGCGCGGGATGGTCGGCGGCGGAGGACAGGTGAGCGGCCGGCACACCGCTGAGGCCGCCTCCGAGCACGGTAGGTCACCCGCGCACGAGGCGCGGTAGCCTTCGTCGCAGACGAGACGGACGCTGGAGTCGCCCGTGCGCTCATAGCGGCCGTTGGCGGGCTGGTCGAGCAGCTCGCATGTGTCGTTCGCGGGAGACAGCGGCTCAAAGGCGGCGATCTCCGAGATTGAGAGGGACGTCAGTCCGGGAGCCGAGCTGAGGACCTCCAGAATCAGCGGACTACCGTCTTCGGCACCGATTAGCTCGTCAGAGGGACAGGTGCAGGCAGCCAGTCCGGTCAGATCCACCTCCCTGGAGATATTCCTGTCGCAGTGACACTCCGTCCAGCTGCTGCCCGAGTTCAGATAGACCGAGTAGCTGGCGCTCAGCGTGCGAACCAGCACCAGATCGACGGAAACGCCATCATCGAGCGTCACATTCAGCGACTGTGTGCCCTCGCTGGGAGTCAGCATCGTCCATGTGCCCACCTGTCCGTCAACAGCCAGTTCTGACCCCAGGCCCAGCAGGGCAGATCGGGGGAACGCCGCGGTGGCCCTGCCGAACGCCATGTTTCGGTGGCAGGTCGGCGGCGAGTCGCTCCAGCGCCCCTGGTGGCACGTGCGCCGGAGTTCGCCCAGTGTCTGTCGGAAGGAGAATCCTGCCGGGCAGGTGTAGGTGACCGTGGCACCGTGCGGGTACAGCTGGCCGACCGGCGTGGTCAGCGAGCTGCCGCCTCCCACGGACGGAGCTCCGCAGGGCAGCGAGCAGCTCCGCTCATCCTCTCCATTGTTGCAGTTCTTCGCTCCATCACACAGGAGACTTTGCTCGATGAGCTTACCAGTGTCGGAACACATGTGGGCATCTGCACGGCGTTTTCTTTCTTTTTCTTGGTAAGCAGAGCTATGACGAATTCGATAATCCGGTTCTTCACGGTAGGGGTAAACTGTAGTTTCACTAGATATCTTCAGCTCTACTGATCCGACCAGCGTGCCGCCCTGTGTACACTGATAGACACCGGCCTTGGTGGCGCTCAGCAGGCACTCGTCGCTGAGTACGTCTCCGCCGCGTCTGTTCCAGCGGCAGCCCTGGTCGTCGGCCGGACGGCAGACCAGCTCAACGGCCTCGCCGCGGCGGATCAGCACCGGTCTCCCCGCGCCCTCCATGGTGGCCAGGAACTGCCGCGGACTGCGCGTGCAAACGTCCGCCGCCACACAGCCTGCCAAACGGACGGCGCAGCTCGTCAGTTACCTACCGTTACTCATGGTGGGACTACGGGAACAATTTTCCAATTCCTTCAATTCGCTATTTGTGTATGTACATGATTACCTAACCACGTTTGAGAGTTATTTTTAAGCATGACCCTCGCCCGAAGTAAGACGCAGTTAACTTTTATGTTATTGACTTGAATGCATCAAATGGTCCCAAACTGACCCCGCATGTGGGCATTATGGTGCCCGATAAAAGAACAACCCGGGGAAGGACACGTTCCACATTAGTCACCCTTTGACCCTTATCATTTATCAGTCGCTTATCGCTAAATATTTCCTAGTAAACGTTCGGCAATCGGCCATTGCTCCTATCGTTAGCATTCGATGCTAGAGATAACGATATCGAATGCTATAGCCTTTTGTGTGTGTGTTGGTCACAATATTGATTGCTGGTGATCTGCTTCTGTTTTTTTTGCCTATTTTTATATTTTCGAACACCCCTTAGAGAGTGTGTGAATACCCCCCCCCCCCAAACGACGCGAGTTTTTAACACGTAACGAACATTTATTTGAAATTGTAAAGTAAAAATGAAACTTGCCCTACGTATAGGCATTTTTTTTAGTGTCTAGTCGGTAAAGCGCGCTCAAAACTTTTTTACCATCTCCTGGAGAGTTCATTTTCATCAAACCCGCAAGATAATAGTATATTGAAAGGGTAACTCGCTGCTACCATTATGTGCATAGTAACGGTACGTGGTTAATATGAATTTATTCGCCAGCGAAGAGTATTATTACCATGTAAATATCAATATTACTCTCGCGATCCAGAACATCACGAAAACTCTTTCCTCCTGGGTATCGTGACTCGGGTACAGATAGTCGTTTCATGCGTGGATCTTGTTTACCCTCGTGAAGATGATATTTGAAATGGAAACAATCAGCCAATCAGAAACGAGATCGGCCGTTTGCGGTTTGAAGGCCGCGCGCATCTGTCAGTTTTCGGCCGTTGGTCTCCGAGAGCGGATGTGAGCAGTGTCGGTGCCGCGCGGCGTGGCCGTTGGTGATTGTGCTTGTGTGTTGTTCATCGCCTATAGAGCCTCTGTGGACATTTTATTGTAAGTACCGATGTGCTAGAGCATTGCGTGCCGTTGAGTGGTGCTAATTTGACCTGGTTAACGGGACCCCGTGCACGGCCACGTGACCTAGTGTTGTGAGTACGTACATTAATTTTGTTGTGATGCTACAAGTTTATGCATTTTGTTGGTGACTTTGAAAAAGCCTTGCACTGTAGTGATCCAGTCTCATTATCTCACGCAGACGGGCGACCACCCAGGAACGCCGTCGCTCACTTCAAATATTGTGCGCTCTGCCTAATCCAATATGAGGGCGCTGAATGTCTTGTATTCATATTCAAATTGCATTCAAGTTGTATCGTGGTGTTTATTTACCGCTTGTGCATTGCTGAACGGTTTGTATAAATTTGTATGAATAAGTGAAGAGTCTCACAATGTTCATGGTTGGTGTGCCCCTCGTATTGTTTGTACGGAAGCCAAATATACCTACATTGTTGCTCTTGAAGCTTTTTTTTTAGTTGGTGAGCTCCGGTTAACAGAAGCTTCGTGAAGCTTCTGAAGGAAGCGTCTGTGGGTCTGTATACCATCCTCTGGGGGGTTTACACTAAAGGAAAGAGTAAACATTACCATGTAACAAAGGGTAGGCCATAAGAATATACTCTCTGTAGGAGGGTAAAGCACAGAGTAGATGATACGTTACTCCCTAAAAAAGGGTTCCGTTAAAGATTTACCCTTTCAAAGAGTGTAACCCAAAAAATGTTACACTCTAGACAAGAGTAAATCAAAAGAGTTTACCATTCAGAAGATGGTAAAAAACGTCTGTGTGTCATGTTACCCCTCCCTGGCGAGTTTACTCTTCATGAAAGAGTAAAATTTACCATCTGGAAGGTGGTAAAAAACGTCTGTGTGTCAAACTACCATGCTATGGCGGGTTTACCCTTCAGGAAATGGTAAAAAAGTTTTCAGTGGATCGCGACATCAAGGGTATGCAACTTGAAATGTCTGACTGAACCTTTCCCGATCCATCAACATAAACCACCTAAATAGCCCGAGTAAAAGGTCATCATTACCGATCACGGCGACGACAAAAAGCCGCGTCATTGAGTGCATCCTCAACGTGGGGGTCTTGCGCCGCGTGCGTTGTGAACTGTGAACTGCTGTCCCGTCCCGCTGTCACCGTAGAACCGTAGGGTGGACACGGACTGCTGCCGTCCTCTTCCGATGCTGACGCCGGGGAACAAGACGCGCAGACGGCTGCAAGGGCACACCGAGTCTCCTGGCTGCGTCCACCACTCGAACGCAGCCGATATTCAACTATCTCGCTGGAACGCAGCCCCCAACTCTACACCACTGCACGTTTCGAACCGCCCGACGGCTCCGCAGTGGCCACGGCCTCGGGCGTCGGGCGTCGAGCGATCGGATCACAATCAGTCAGAGCGCCGCTATCGCAGAGTGGTCGAGGTGACTAAGCGCTGGCGGTATCAGTGCTGCACCGGAACTCGATGTCTATCTTCACCCTCTCAACAGACAGGAACGTCCTGCTTCGACGGTAGGCATCTATAAAGGCGGGTATAGCAGTAGCACCCATGGACGTCACCAAATAATTTTGAGCTGGGGGGGGGGGGGTACCTGTAGGTAACCTATCGGGATCAAGAAAGGTGGTGTGGTATGTACCTATGTAGGTACAGCCCACCGCTAAAGTAATGTGTGGTTTTACCAATCTCAACGATTGGCTTTGACCGACGATTTTTAAATGCGGACTAATTGAAAAGAACACGTCAATAGCTAAAGAATTGCAGCTGCAAGGGTGACGATACATATGAGCTACATTCAAAGTTTCATTGTAGTCTGGCTAATCGTTCCTAAGCTTCAGAAACAGAACATACCCATGACTGAAACCCACATTACTTCTGCTGTGGACTGTACGTCCTGCTTCAACGGTAGGCATCTATAAAGGCGGATATACCACCCATGGACGTCACCAAATAATTTTGAGCTTTGTGTGTGTGTGGGGGGGGGGGGATACTATACCCGTGGCCGTGTGTAACCAATTGGGATCAAGGAAGGTGGTACATACATAGGTGCCTGTCCTGTTATTTGAAGCCGCGGTGACTCGGAGCACTTTTTGGGAAGTATACCTACCTTTGGCCCCACATCCAGAAAAGTGGTTTAGTGAAACCGCTTTTCTGGATCCGCCAATGGCAGAGTGCAGGCATGGTTGCCAGCAATCCCTTGCGAAGGATGGGTTGGCATAAAATGCGCGCAAGCTTTTTTCGACAACCTGTGATTGAGAAGGTAGGCATTAGGTAGAGCAATTAAAACAGCTGAAATGGGTTTAACTCATCCATAAGGATCAATTGATATGCAACATGAAAATTTCCGGTCAGGTCGTGACCTTACCAGACCTCTACCTGTGGCCCAATTTTCCAGTTGAGCCTCAACTCATCTTGCGCACGTGCAGGGGGTCGTTTCTACATTTCAAGAACGACTGGATCGATTGCACTCCAGTTTGGTATATGTACTGCTGGAGATCGGTTAGAAGGGTGCCCGGTGAAATCTCGCTGCGTAGTATTTGTATTTCGCATTAAACCTTAATTACAAACAAATCCAACGTCTGTTCAGTCACTGGACTGCTGTGCATATCAATTTTTTCTTTGTTCATTGAAAAATCATTTTCTTTTTGCAGTATATATCTCAATAATACTTCTTAAGTGCTTTTTTATACACTCCTTATATATTGTTTGCCGGCTGTTAAATTTTAGCTGCGCTATATTACAAGAGCTTGCGCTCGTTTTCTGCGCAGCTGTTTCGAAAGTGATGATTTACAAAGGGACCGTGTATATCACACCACGGTGAGATTTACACAATACCGGCCATTTGTGTAAATCACACCCACCCCGGTGTATACACAAAATCTACTACGTAGTGTAAATCACACCCGGGTGAGGAATACACAGAGAGGGCAGCTGTGTGTATATCTCACCACGATGTGACGTCATAGCAACGCTGAACGTCCATTGGTCAGAGCAGTGACTCTGCTCGCCCATTGGTCAGATCAGACTAAGCACTACGAATATTCCGGCGCTATTCCGGGCGTCCTCTCTCTCGGAAACAGCTGACCGCCTGGCCTAGTGGTGAAGGTGCTTGCACCATGATACGAATGTTGCGGGTTCGAGTCCCGTCGGTGCGGGCGCTTTTTCCCGCATTTTCGCTTTTCCTTGGTAGCGGTGGGTTCGCTGCCGACCGACAAGTTTAAAAGCACCAATACAATATGGAAAGCGACGTCTGAATGCTCGTGGCGAAGCGGTGCAGTGCCGAAGGCAATGCCTTAGTAGAGATTACAGGCAATGGTAAGTCAAATATTTTTAGGTTAAGTGGTTGTGTATCTGGCTTCAGGCCGAAGGCCTGAAGCCTGATGCACAACCACTTAACCTAAAAATATTTGACTTACCATTGCTTGCAATCTCTTCATGCGAGTACCTTCTTCCTCATCCACGGGTAGGCAAAAATCAGTAGGTCAGGTTAGGTTAGGTTAGGTTAGGTTAGGTTAGGTTAGGTTAGGTTAGGTTAGGTCAGGTCATGTCTAAGGTTTGGTTAAGTGTCTTGTTACCGTGCCTACTGTGTAAATCTCACCCAGGTGCTGCGTGGTTTGACACCCAGGTGTGATTTACCCACTACCGAGCACACAGTGTATATCACACCCTGGTGAGATTTACACATTGGCTAGGCCTACTGTGTAAATCACACCCAGGTGCTGCGTGGTTTGACACCCAGGTGTGATTTACACACTAGGAGCACATTGTGTATATCACACCACGGTGTGATTTACGCATTTGCCGGGCCTACTGTGTAAATCACACCCAGGTGCTGCGTGGTCTGACACCCGGGTGTGATTTACACACTAGGAGCACATTGTGTATATCACACCCCGGTGTGATTTACGCGCACAGGAAGGGGTATTTACTGTCAGTGGTTCTGTAATTTCATACTCCTGACTTGGACTCCTTGCCAGTTGCCTCAAGGGTGAGTTTGAGTTGGCATCTCAATCTCAATCTCAATCTCAATCTCAATCTCAATCTCAATCTCAATCTGATCTTGATCTGAGTTGCAAGGAGGAAGGCATGCCAAGGCGATAGGCTATGCTGGCAATGTGAATGCTATATGATCAATATTTTTATTCACATTACTTTCAAAAGAATTTAGAGGTTTTTGGGCAATCATTTTTGAAATTTTGAAGACATTTCAATTTGGCTGAAGTTTTAGCAAAGGTTAGACCATAATCATAATATGCATGTAAGGAGAATCTGTCTGAGTCTGCCTAAGTCGGTTTGAGTCTGTCTGAGTCACTGAGTCATTCTGAGTCTGTGAGTTGATCGGAATAGATTTGAGTCAATCAGAATCAATTTGAGTGGGTTGAGTTGGTCTTAGTTAGTTTGAGTTGGTCTGAGTCAATCTGAATCAGTTTGAGTCAGTCGAGTAAGCTTGAGTCTGCCTGAGTCAGTTTGAGTCTACCTGAGTCGGTCTGAGTCTGTGTCTCAGTCGATACTGATAGCGTGGTACGTTATCTTCTCTTCCAGTGACATCACAGCATGCTTTGGCCTGGCACGGCGGCCTAATACAGGAAACCTTAACCTTGACCTTGAACGAAAACATTTGCCGGCGGCGCCCGCGGCGGTGACGCCAGGGTTATCGATGCCGGAATAAAGACATAAGACATTTGCAATAAAATAAAACATGATTCATCATTCTGATTAAAGAGTAACCCTCATCATTTGTCTTAAATGAACATCAGCTTACAAAAGTAAGGTAGGCATAAGGCAGGTATCTACCTACTTAGTTTTCTTGCAGAAGCTCAAGCTTAAGGGAATCCTTAGTATCAAATACCAATGATGATCAGATACCTACATTTTTATGAAAATGAGTAAATTAATGAGCTTGCTAAGAGTGGTAAGTAGGTACCTACCTACCTAAAATATGACGCTAGTTTAAAAAAAATAAATTTAGCTTGAATGTTTGGATGGACAGATTGACTTCACCTCATATTGCCCTCAGATTGAATGGACATTGATTGACAGAAGTCCTAGACCTTACTACGCAGAGCTTGTTGCGTAGACCCTGACCACTATTGTCTGAGCACAGTGCCAGGTAATAGGAGAATTTTTTATGTGCCGCCAAAGTTAAATCATCCTTGAAAGCTGGACACGGTCTGTCCCACCACTCAACTGACCTAAACTGGCTGTGGCTGCTTCCACCAACCGCAGCCGATCCCCGGCAGGAGTCTCGTAATATCAAGCTCCGGAGCGATTCCAACCTGGGCTCTCACTACCGGTTACTGGGATTCCAACACTCTACCACCTGAACTACAGAACAGGCTGAGCTACATGTCAGTGTTCCCTGCCTTTATCAGTAAAGGCTAAGCTTTATGGTTTATATTAATATTGGTTATAGAAGATGATTTTTTAGGCTTGAGTAGTTTGATAAAAAAAAAGAATTTCCTTACATCACTGCAATAAACTCTGCTGTTTTACCCCAGCAATATTGTCTAGAATGTCTTATTACAAATTCATTAAACAGTAGGTACCTAAAGATGTCAGTCAGTAAAAATGAACTGATGCTGTTTGACTTTCTTATTTTGCCACTAAGAGTTGCTGGATGTCATAAATATCACGGATGCTCCAAATGCTAGCCCATTTTAGCCAGTAATTGAAAATGAAATGCACTACAGTCAATTCTTTGGTCATATTTTTTCCATTGGTGCCGGCTTCTTCTGCTATGCCATTGCAATTTATCTTAGGGTGTCAAGCATGTTTACAAAATTTTCATGACTTCAAATCAATTTGTTAATGCTAGCAACTAGCAATTCAGTTTTGGAAGGCACTTACATTAAAAACTAAACTCATTGCTGTTCACTATTTTAGTATCTCTGTCAAAGATATACGGATACCCAGAGCACCTAGATGAAGTAATAACTTAGAAAAAGGAAGAAATGAAGATTTATTTCAACCATGAACAATGATCTCTATGAATTGATAGACCTTTGACTTCTGACATATATATTAGGGTGATGACTGAGGTGTCAACTGTTAGGAGCAACAAATGCCTGGTTATGATCAGGACCTCGGTCAGCATATTACCTGCAATGTGCAGGTGATCTGCCTGTTTGAGGTCAAAGGGCTTCCTTCCAGTAGCGCCCAGTTTCTTGGTGCATCTGACTGGCCTGTGTCCTCCTCCACAGGGTGTATTGCCCCGTCATGTGGGTGCGCTCGTCGTTTGGCGGGGTCGAGCCGTCGTCTGTGGCACCCGTCCCGAGCCGGCGACGCGCCCGCCCGGCACGCTCTGCCCCCCGTCCGGCGCCGGTGCCCGCCGCTGGGGTGGGGTCGCTCTGGGCCGAGCGACACCGTCCGACCAGCACCCAGCAGCTGGCCGTGCACCGCACCAAGGTGGAGGAGCTCGAGCGCTGGCTGCTCGACACCGGGCGCCGGCTGACGGCCGGCTCGGCCGCGGTGAGGAGGCCGCGGAGAGCTGGGCACGGGGATGTTGATATCCTGGGCGTCCGTATGCTGTTCTGACTGGGTTAGAAATAACGATCGTTTGCTTAAACTGGATCGTTTTCGTTATCTTGACCGCCTACGATAATTGGATCTTACCTTGTTTTACCCATGTGATCTTTCAGATTTTAGGCATATTTGATCAGGGGTTAATCCAAAAGTCGCACAGCAAGATAACCTTATCGAAGCTCTTCATTGGCAAATCATTTACATCTCCGTACTTTGATTGATTTTTTCTTTCTGGAACCTGTTGTAATCAATCTGTGGCCTATGACTAAATTGTGTCTCTCTGAGTTCTGACCCTCCTGTGACCTGACCTGTCCCCCAGAGTCCGTTTCTGCTGGTGACGGGACCGGCCGGATGCGGAAAGTCGGCCTGCGTGCGCTGCGTGGCGGACAAGCTCGGTCTTTCGCTGGTGCAGTGGACGACCCCCGCCTCGGGCCGGCACCAGCGCGACAGGATGCTGGAAGGTGGGTAGCGCGCCGGCATGGTGACGTGTGTGTTTGAGCGACAGATTTATCGAATGGCTGGACATCTTGATTCATATTTTTACTGATATTGAAAGGTTAAAAAATAAGCACCCGAAGCGGAGTCGTCGACATAGATGTTCATTATGCGCGTTGATTTTCCTGCCAAATTAAACATGTATGGTCGCTACTCGCTTATGATAACCAGTCCAGCGCCTCACTTTCTAACCCCGAGCGCAGGACGGAAGTCTCATTAGTCACGCAATATTGCTATCTCGCATCCCTTTACCGTTTATCAGCCCGACGAATCAGGCGTTTCAACTTATTTCTGGAATTTCCCGTCATCAGCGGCAGGGCTGCGGAGTCGGAGTCGGAGTCGGAGTCGGAGTCGGTCGGAGTCGACAGTTGTGACCGGAGTCGGAGTCGGAGTCGGAGTCGATTTTAGAAACCCGAGCCGGAGTCGGAGTCGGAGTCACCGAAAATCTGTCGACTCCGCAGCCCTGCTAGGTCTGCGGAGTCGGAGTCGGGAGTTGGAGTCGGTCGGAGTCGACAATTCTGCCCGGAGTCGGAGTCGGAGTCGGAGCTGGTTTTTGAAAGCCGGAGTCGGAGTCGGAGTCGGAGTCGCCGAAAATCCATCGACTCCGCAGCCCTGATCAGCGGCTCCCGTGTCCCTCCCTCAGATCCCTGGGAGGGCCAGGGCGACACGGTCACCCCCGAGGGCCAGCTGCGGCAGTTTGCCGACTTTCTGGTGCGGGCCAACCGGTACGGCTCGGTCCTGCCATCTGGTGGCGGCGCCGCGAGGCTGGTGCTGGTCGACGATCTGCCCAACGCCATCAGCTACAGAAAGGAAGAGTTCTACGACGTGCTGAGGTGAGCGTCATACTAGCTGGGTGGACTGTGTAGTGTGGTGAGCTTGTTCAGGCTGGCCCGCTACTGCTGAGTGGGCTAATTTGGCAGGGTTTGGATTTGTTGGGTAGGTTTAGCCACCCTCACATCGTAAGCAAATATCACACTTCTTTGGTTTTTAAGCGTCATGTTTGGACGTCTTCCGTGTCCAGAATTGAGGGCTTATTTTACCCAACTCCATCCCTGACCCAGTGTTCCGTCTGTGTTCCCTGGCCAGGCGGTACGGACGCGGTGCTCGCAGTCCGTGTGTGTTCGTGATGAGTGACGGCGGAGCACGCTCGGACCTTGATGTGCTCAGCGTGTTCCCCGACTCTGTGCGGGCTGAGCTCGGCATTCATCAGATCACGTAAGTTGGGATGGAGCGCTCTGGTGTGGTAGGCTGTTTCAACCTTCGTAAATTTGTCTCATGCGGGACATTTGATGTAGGTTTTGAGTGGTAGGTTTAAAGCGAAATATCTTGATGATGTGGGTCCGATTAGTTGCAATTGCTACCTCACGCTTGGCGCCCTGCATTTTTCATTTCATTGCTTGAATTTATGTGATGTGTAGAATTTAAACCATCATTCTTCAATGTGATTAGAACAAAACACATTTCGCTGAGTTGACGTCCGTCTAAGAGTGTGACTGATCCGACCGTGTTCGGCAGGTTCCGTCCGCTGACTAACAAGCAGCTGGTGACGGCGATGGAGCGGGTGCTGACGGCGGAGAAAGGTCAGAGACGCTGCCCGGGGGGGGGGGGGGTGAGACGCTGCCGTGGGGGGGGGGGCTGACGGCAGAGACAGGTCATTCGGTTAGGTGATGCTTGAGCAGAATTTAAAAAATCATCAATAATTATAAAAGTGATTAATGATTTCTTTAGTCATTCGGTTTTGTTTTGACGTTGAACAAAGTTATCTTCTTAAGAGCAGCGAAAAAAAAACTCTTGAAACGCTCATGTAGCCTAACTTCGCAATAATTTGTAACTCGCTTAAGATCGCTAGTATAAGCGCCCCTGCCCGTTCATGTCTCCGTCTATGATCCAGCTGGGTTCTCGAATGATGTGACCTCTAACTAACGGCCTCTACCAGGCGTGTCCCACCCGGGTAAGGCGACTCTGGAGGAGCTGGCTGCTGCCGCCTCGGGAGACATCCGCTCCGCCATCAACGCCCTCCAGTTTCTCTGTGTGCAGCCCACACCGGGAAGGACGGGTGAGTGACGACTGATGTGAGAATAGCTGTATGTGGGACGGAGAGGGGATATGAAGCTATTATAGGGAAGTTATGTGACAGTAAACCATGTTATATAGTTTGCCTTGCTTGGCTGTTAGTCATATCATATAACAGTTTTCTTTTTGTCCCAGCTATAATTTGTCTGATTTATATTGATTCTTGAATTCTTGTTGGCAGTAGGTAATTATTATTGCAAGCCTACAATTATGCAGCTGTGTTGTCAGGGACTTTTCCAGGACTGGTAGACTTTCAGTACCTTAGCTTTGGTTGTTTGATTTTATACCGATTCTCACCAATCGTGACGGTGAGACATTATCTCTTCTTTGTTTAGATAAGTCAGCCAAGACCAAGTCAAAAGCTGCGCCGCCTCCGTCGAAGAAGGCCCGGCTGAAGTCTGATCCGGCAGCTGAGGAGGCGGTGGCGGCCGTCGGTAGCAGGGATGCTACGCTGGGCCTCTTCAGGGCCGTCGGAAAAATCATGTATGCCAAACGTGAGTGTTCAATGTCTTTGGCAAACTTGGGCCTAGAGACTGCAGCACTTTGTGGTTTTAAATGGCTCCATTGCTTACAAATCACAAAACACAAAGTCGACTGTCAATTTGCCCATTATTGCTTGGCTGATCACACCTTTCTCATTGATTTTCTCGATGTGACCATGATCCATTGCATTACGCAAATGTTGTGTAGTCGTTTTGCCATTAGCAAGAGACACCTAACCCGAGAGTGGCCGCTCTCTTGGTCCCCCTGTTGTTGTTGTTGTTCTCCCCGGGTCGGCTCACGGCCGACCGTAGCCCAACGGCTCTCGGTGACTAAGGTAGCGGCGGCTCAAGGCCGCCACGGCCCCGCCGTCCCGAAGCTGCGTAGGGTCCGGTCTGATATTGCCGAGTAGGCGCCAGGCGGAGCCTCGCGCCAGCCAAGCACGGGCACCTCAGCAGTACGTGCTCTGACGTGTCCGGGCCCTCGCGACACACCAGGCAGCGCGCCGCCGGGCAGGCCAGGTCGCTGCAATGTGGGCAGTCGCGCTCGGGGCGGCGTCCGATTCTGTGCAGGTAGCTCTGCGAGCGGCTCCAGTGTCCCGCCCGCAGCTGATCTACGCTGACCGCCTCGCCGCGAGACTCCAGGAGCACCGGCATCGGCATCCGGTCTCTCATGATGACCGGATGGGACCGGATGGGAGTCTGGGAGTCTTGGTCCCCCTCGATCGTTCTCTCTGCCGCTCTATCGGTCGCCTCTCTCGCTCGCCCACATTCACCCCTCTCTCCCCCGTCCTCCCAGGCGGCGAGGGCTGGGAGTCGCCCGAGCTGCCCGCCCACCAGTCGTCCCACCGTCGGCCGCCGCTGCTGGAGCGGCATCCGGAGCTGGTCTGTGCCCGCGCCGGCGTCCAGCCCGAGACGCTGGTGGCCCACCTGCACCACAACTACCCCGAGTTCTGCCCGAGACTGGAGGACGCCGTGGCGGCGGCTGGCTACATCAGTGATGCGGATATGATCACCGCTGACTGGCAGGTAAGGAGTAAGGACGGGCGAGGTTGGGATGAACACAGCCAGTGGAGGGAGTTGCGGTGAAGCGAAGGACTGGAGAGAGTAATTTCTCTGAAATCAAGCAAGGATCTACAATTTGGCAAATTCGATTTCAGACGCAGGAGGCAAAACTGCTAACAAACTTGATGTAGTGTTAGCTTATGCAGTATTTACAAGGTAGCGCTTGGTTCGTTTAGCCGTTTTATGACATTCGTACTAATGAAGGAATTAAAATGGATACCAGATTTGTGCTATTTCTTGCGATATGTCTTGTGATATATTTTACGCACAGTCCCCAAAAACGAAACAGGATTTGCCATGCACCTGACTGCCACTGACCATTTGCCCTCATGTTCCGACAGTCTCGAGTGGCCATGCAGGCTTACAGCAGCTCGGTGGCCGCTCGGGGCGTCATGTTCTGCCGCCAGACCACCGTCAGCCTCGGCTTCCGGCAGTTCTGCCAGCCGAGACTCACCGCCGTCGAGCAGCAGCGCGGAAAAAGGTCGGTATGGGTTTTTGTGGGCGCACTTTGTGATTTGCGTGCGTACTGCTCACTGAGTCGAACTTATCCATTATTTTGCGCTGATGATCATCACATGCATTAATTTAGTGATTTAGTGCTTAACATCTGCGATGTTTCAGTTTGTAATGTCATTAATTATTTTAGGCCTATGACTTCGCCTGTAAGTGGAGATTGCCCTGTTGGCGATTATGCAAATGAATAAATAAATAAATAAATAAATAAATAAATAAATAATAAAGCTATGTATTATAATAATTACATACTTTAGACGAGCCAACGGGCTATCAGTTTGGACTATGTTGTGAAGCCTGGCATGGCAAGGTTAGATATGGACTGGTTGGGGTATATTTAGGTAATATTGACTGGCTGGCTGGAGTATCATGTCTGTCTGCTGGATTGTGGCGACTAACCGCACAGTCTAACCTGCCACCCATAGACTGGAGACTCTCCGCGACTCTCTGGCCGAGTGGAGGGTCCCGGCCGACACCCTGGTCACTGAGCTACTGCCCTTCCTGCGTCTGAGGGGCGCCGCCGGGCCGTTCCGCCCGAGCGGTGAGACGGGGGACGCGGGGTGTACTATCAGGGATAGAGCCTGGGCTGAGCTCTTGGGTGCTATATCATGGGTTGATGGAATCCGGGCAGCTGGTAGTCTAAGTTTCGAGGATAACACCCGATGGGCACCTTCTGTTGCTCTTCATCTTTTTTCTTGTTATGAAGTGTCACTGCATGGTTTCTGCATGTGTCTAATTTATGGTGTGTGTCTCTTGCAGCGACAACTCTGCCTAGCTACGACATGCCGTTCTACAAGCGTATCTACCAGCCTGCACTGGACAGGTAACTACGCTAGGCGGACGCAGGCGATGTCCAGAAAAAGAAGGATTAAAAATAATTTCCATTGCTTTCTGGTTGAAACTTCAATTGATTTCTGCATAATTGTTATACCGTACACGATTCTTTGGGCAACCCATCAAAAGTACCGTTCGTTTGTGCTTCTCCGCAAAGTGTTTCACCATTCCATTGCATGTTTGAACATCGTGCGCTCACCGGGAACTGAGTTTCTTTGACTGAGGACCGCCCTTTCCTCCGCCAGGCCGGGAAGCTGTGATAGTGACGAGGACGGGGAGGAATCTCTGGAGATTGAGGAGTACGCCGACTGAGGACAGGTCAGTCCTCACATCTGTACTCGAACTGATACCACCGTCGGTCGGCTGGCCCGAATATCTCTTCAGTCGGTAGAGACGCTTCTACATACGTTCCACAGGCGTATTCCATCTCATCACCAGCTGTGATGTTGGTTTCCCGAGCGAGTAGCATTCAGCAGGTGCGATGGCACGCTTTAATGGTGCCACGTGACAGTGATTCGGGTGTATCCAATATTTGTTGTCATGTTCTTGTTAAATAATGCAAAATAAATAGTTTATTTATGCTATTATCTGCTTGTAATCAGCTTTGATTCGCGTCTATATGGCTTTTTTATGTTAACATCGCTTTGAACGATGTATTGCATCATAAAATAATTGTTGGCGTGTTGAACTGGCTGAAGTCTTAAGAAGCATTAATTGCCTAGAAAATATTATACACAGGCATTTAGTTCTTAACTATAAATATATTTATAATAATAAAATCTCGAACATTCTCGACAAACAACAGCACCTTCTCAACACCGGAGTATTTCACAACACTTGAGCAGGAATCGCAGTGAAAGCGCTTCTCGCGCTCAATATCTCCCAAAGCACAATTGCAGTTCAAAGAATCTTATAATCCTGCACACGACATAGTAACTTCACACCACTCGTACAAACTCCGGTTGCAGCGGCGAAGCTCCGTCGTGCTTTACACCTAGTCCGCGTGGCGGCGCCACTGTCTGCACAGCCGCTGCAGGTGGCGCTGCAGTCGGTCAGACGAGCCGAGTGGCCGGCGGCGCAGGTCGGTGGTGGCCGGGCCGGTAGCCGACCTGAGCGGCGAACGGGTCGGAGCCGTACATAAAGCGAGCCGGGCTGCTGTTGACTTGGCCAACGTATCCCTGGGAAGAGACACACGGGTTATACCGGATGGCAGACTGAAATAGCTTATCAGAAATTTGTTGATTCTGTCATGGTACGCGGCACTCCCATGAAATCACGTTCCAGCAGACTGCCAATAGTCATTTCAGTCCCTCCCCACACTTAATATCTTATTTTATGCTACATTTTGCCCTGATCTTCCAGGTATCCATTTTCCCTGCCTCTATCACTGTCCCAAATACATTCTTCACTCCCGCTTGCACCATCCTAGCCTTCCGTCCTATCTCCTCTTGCCATCCCCTATCGGCTCCCCTCCCCATCCGATTCCACTCACGGTGCGCTGCTGGCCGTAGACGGGATGGGCGTGCTGCAGGTGGAGTGACCGGGGCCCTCCGTGACCGGAGTCCCCAGTCCGCCGCTCCTCTCCGCTCTCCGCCTCCAGCTGCCCCAGGCTGCGCTTGAAGCTGTCGTTGCGACGCGACGTCCTGCAATGGAGTGGTATCGTGAGTCACACACACGATGCTGAAACACGAAGCTAAAATCGGCATATTTATCCTAGTTCCCCGTTTGAACACCAATTACCTTGTTAATTTGGTACTATTTCGTCATTATGCTCTGAGATCATGTAGGATAGTTGACTAACTATGCTACGTTTTTATTGTTCCGAATAGTTTGTTTCTATCCCTCGAGGAAAGCTGGGAACAGCGATCTTTATTACCAATACAAGACTGACAGCAATATTCTGATCCCTTGTCGTTCACTGCCCGGCTCTATCCCCTCACCCTCTCTCCTCACTCACTTGGTGCGCTGTTTCCTCCTCTGTCCTCCCGGTGGTGACGTGGCGTCCCTCTCTCCCTCCTCTCCGTGCTGGAGGTACTGCATGTCCAGAGACTGGGGCGGGCTGGCGGCCGTGCCCTGAGCGAATGCTCGTCGGTAGTTACTGGTCATGGGTGCGGCTCGCAGCGGCTGGTGCTCGGCGTACGGGTCCGACGGGACCGTACCTGGCGGGGAGAGGTGGAGGGTAAATACCAGTGCAAGTCATACTTGTCATTTCAACATGCTGTGAAATCGCAGCGATCATAATCAGTTCGATAACAGACACTGAATGAGCAGCTGACAAGATATTTTCCTCTCGCTGTACACCATGTTGATAACAATGTAACCAAATCCATTGCCAGGATATAAAGGAGCTAACGGCTTCTGACAATCCTATTGCCCTCACGACTGCTCACACTGTCGCGGGTGCGCCTAGCCTAAGCAGCCCCGCCTGTGTTTCTGTCGCGTATGTGCCGAGCTCCAACCCCACCTGAGCTTCTATCGTTTTTTTACCGAGCTTTAGCCTCACCTGAGTTTCTGTCGCTGCTGGCCGCCCTATTGTGCGCCTCACTGTAGATGGCAGCGGGTGTGCGGCGACCCGAGCGGGTCGGACCGAACACCTCCGCAAACGGCGGGGACCTGTGGACAGGGTAATAACAGATCAGTGATCAGCGGGTCTTGTGATCATGTCACAGGCGGGTCACGTCAGATGAGACGAAAGAGATTAGGTAAACGAGCGTTTCAGTAAAATGAATTACAAGAAACCATTTCCTGATGGAATGTAGGTCGGCTTCATTAATTACCGGCATGGTATTCGCTCCTCAAACATTCCACACATTTCTGCCATAGTCTCCACATAGTCTCCCGGAGTCGCGGCCGCACCTGTGCTGTTTGGCTGCCGGCGCCGGCCGGTAGTCGCTGTAATGTCTGGCCTCGTGGCGATACTCTGGTAGCTCGCGGGTCAGCCGCTGAGCGGGCGGCAGCGGAGGGGACGACTCGTACCCGCTGCTGGTCTGCAGCGGGTCAGGGGACAGCTCTGACACAGGGCTGTTGACCCCGCTCACATCGCTGACGTCCTCGGCAAACTCTGCCACCTGGCGGGCGGAGCGCGAAACACGCCAGGGTGAGGCGGTGCTGGACGGTAGATTTGGTAATGGGATGAGCAAACAGGTATGCAAATGCAGAGAGGTGACAGCCACTTTCACTAGCCGGGAGGAGGCAAAAGAACTGTGACGCAAGCTGAGGTGCGACGCAAATTGACATGACCGTATTTGGTCGTTTGGTCATTCATTCAGCAGTTTCTGGAGGGTCGGCATGCATGTTTGAACGAGGTCCTCAGTTGTGCCATTCTGAAGTGGGATGCTTGCGGCACTTGGAAGGCACAAACAGACATTGAGAAACTGTCTTGTACAACGTCATTTCCATGAAATGACACTACACTTAAACGCAGAAGTGGGGACAATACAATACGTGGAGAACACCCCAGGGCCCTCCAAGGCAGACCATCCACCTACGAGTCTCATGGCATGCAGCTCACCTGTTTATAGATGGACTTTCGTTTGTCTGTGGGCCGGCCGCTGCGCTGTCTGGCTGCCGACAGCGCCTCCTGTCGGACCTCCTCCTGCCTGCTGAGCTCTGTTCGCGCGCCCACTGTCTGCGGCAGGCTCTGCGGACCCTCGGGTCTCACCCCGTCCTGCTGGACGACCGCCGGGGCTCCCTCCGGCTCCAGTCTGGCCGCCGTCTGCCAGGCGCCGTCAGTGCCACGCGGCGACTCCTTTCGCGAGCGGATCCAGTTCCGCACGCCAGAGAGGAAGGTCTGCTTGTCGCGGGACTTCCCGGAGCGGTGCGCTGATGTTACCGGCAGGGAGATCGGTCCGTCGTGGCTCTGGCAGACAGTCGGTGCGGGGCCGTAGTCCGGTGGGGGACACGGAGGGATCTGTAGACTGATCGGCCCGTGCTGCGGCGGGTCCTGATGTCCCTTCTCCGGCCCGTCCCTCCACTGGTTTCTATCTCCGGTGCTGTCGTGGATGACGCGTTCGCCCGGAGCCGGCACAGGTAGACTAATCGGTCCCTGGATGCTCATCGGGCCCTCCCGGTCAGTCTGCTCCTTGCCACGTTTCTTCTGGAACTGCTCCTCCACCTGGTGCAGGAGTCGCAGCTCCTTCAGGCGCTGCTGCTCCTCCTCCTCGGCCAGTCGACTCAGGCGCGCCTCTAGACGCCTCCTCTCCTGCTGGCGAACCGTACTCTGGTAGGAGAACCGACGCTTACCAGCAGCCGTCGACAGGGACGTTCGCGGCGGTTTCTCCGGGGTCGCGCGACGCTCCTCGCCTCGCAGTTCATCTCGGCTCCCGTGGCGGCGGCGCTGTCGCTGCTCCGGCTCGGGCTCGTCCCTCTGGCTGTCCCTGCTTTCGTCCCTGCTCGTGTTTGTGCGCTGGTCCTGGCTGTCGTCCCTGCTGCAGTCCAGGCTCTCGCCGCGATCTTGTGTCTGGTTCTGGGACCCGTCGCCGGTGCTCCAGAGGTCCACGGCACTGCGGTTTGTGTCGCGTTTGCCGGCGGGTCGGCGTCCCATACGCACTGCGCGGTCAGCACGGCGTGGTAACGGCATCGAGTGGTACTCTGGCAGGTAGAGTACGTGCCGATCGCCCCCTCCTGCGCCTCCATCAGAGCGCGCCTCGTTCGGCCTCGCGACCTCCTCTTCGCCAGCGTTCAGCGAGTTAGGGACGCTGCGACTCAGCAGCCAGTTCTCGTCAATGGAATGCGCCGGCGATCGTCTCAGCGCCGCGATCGCTGTGGATACCGAACGTTTCATCTGTCGGAGACTGTTGAAGGTGTGTGGGGACGTTTGACGGTCTCCGCGCTCGGAGGGTGGCTCGGCCGAGGCGGGGAACATGTCCGTGCGGGACATTAGCTGCGGGGGAAGGACGGTCCCATGCTGGTGACGGATCGCGGGCTCCTCTCCGCCACTGCTCAGGTCGAGGTCGTGTGCCGGCACCCATTCGTCAGCGCGGTCTGGGGTGGGTGAAGACGCGGCCAGCGGAGGTGGCGGGGGACTGCTGGCGTCACCAGAGATCCCCGAGTCGGCCGACTTGGTGTGCGGTCGGCGTCGTCGTGGAGGTGTTGTCAGCGGCTCGGGACCGTCGCTAGCGTCGCTGGTGTCAGCGGTACGCCATGGTCGGCTGGCAGCTCTGTCTAAGGTCAGACTGCGCCAGGCGGAGAGCGGGGAGAAACGAGGAATCTCCAGCTGCTTCCTCGGCAGCGTGGGACGCAGGTGCATCGAGATGGAGTCGTTACCACCGGCGTCCAATTCCAGATCGAACACGCTCGACTGAGACTTGCAGCTGAGCGCGGACGAGTTGGTGAGGATCTCGTCTCGGCTGACCGAGAGGCGCTTTTGACGGCTGCGCTCCAGACTGTTGACGAACTCTGCCAGCTTACGAGATGGGATCCGCGCCAGGCTAGCTGGGGAACCCGTCGCTTGGGGATCGGTTACGTTGTCGCTGCGACGAGAGCCAGGACTCTTGGTGTTGGCACCGCTTCGTCCAGAGCTGGGGCTCTTTACGGGCTCCCGGCTGCGACTCGAGGCGGGGCTCTTGGCGACCTCGCCGCTGCGGCTTGATGTCGGGCTCTTTGTCTTCTGGGCATTGCTCGGGCTCTTGTGACGTCCCTCGCCCACCGTTCGTTTTGTATAGCTGACGGCCGATCCACGAATGGCGACCTGCTCGTTACGCTTTATCTTTGCGATCGCCGAAGGTTTGTTGTCATCGTCGTCACGCTTCTCGGATGGCGGTTCCATGCCGAAGTAGAACACGTTCGGCTGTTTGGCGTGCCGGTGCGCGCTGTTCGAGCTCTCGCTGGAGCTGCCGACAGTGATGGTGATCCTGTGGTCCTCGGTGCTGATCGCCTGATGAAGCGTCCCTCCTGTCCTTCCTCCTTCGTTTCCGCCACCGTCGGCCAGGGCTGCCTGCAGAGCTCCTTCGCTGCGGCTGTGACGCGCCTCTCCGGAACGGCGCAGCAGGCTGCCGGGCGAGGTCTGCTCTCCTCGCTCCCGCCTCTCGCCCTTCTCAGCTCGGGGCAGGCTGCTGAAGCTGGTGACCAGATCGGCGGCCGCCTGCTGACGGATGCAGGCCATGCTCTGCGCACGCGACTTGCGCTCCTGCATCTGTGGCTCACCATTCAGCCAGCGCTGCTCAGAGGCGGCGCGGTTTGCCCGCGGCGAGTAGCGGCCCGTGTGACGGCGGGTCTCCCCGTGCTTGGTGAACAGACCCGTCCGCGGCCTGTTGGAGTCGCGGTCCCCGTCCCTGCCGCGGTCCAGGGTGTGGCTGGGGATCGGCGGGGGCGGCATGGACGGAGGGGGAGGCAGGTCCAGGTCGGACACCGGAGGAGGAGGCGGCGCCCTGCTCTTCTTCCTGGAGCGAGCCCGTGCCTTGGCGGGACCATCGCGAGTGAGAGTGCGCGCCTGGCGCTCGTCGGTCGGGTCGGGGTGCTGAGCGGCTGCCTGCTCTTCAGGGGCGTCCCGTAGGTCTGGCTCGCTGTCATAGCCCTTCTGTGTGTCCTCGGCTGAGCCGTTCCCGAGGCCAGGCTGAAGCGACCTGAGGGCATATAAAAGAACGAATGTGAGTGACCAATAATATTCGTTATCACAAAATTGATATCAAGTGGTTATGCGAACGGTGAATGGCGAAGGAAAAAGTCTATGTAGGAAGCATTTACTTTTTAAATTCGTAGTTTTACATATGTTTTAGCAACATTATATGTTTGGGTTACGTTCAATTGAACATCTGCCGATATTGATTGCGTGAACAGTGAACAATAGGTGTGACAAACAGTGAACAAACAGTGAACCTACTGTTTTTCAAACCAAACATCTGCTACATCTATGATCGTTAATCGTTCGACCGTGGGCGCCGAACCCAGCAGTGGGTGAAACTCACAATTTACCCACTCTTTGTTGGAAATCATGCGACAGATGTTACGTCGATTATGCGCTGTGTCCCCGCATTTCTCCCGGTCACTGGCCATGTCGTGCTCGATCAACTTCTTTGACACATCGTGACGGTATCAAGTGGCTCTTTAATCATCCGCGAAAGAAGATCGACTTGTCGATTGTGTCGGAGAAAATGGAAGAATTTGTTTTCTGGAGCGAGAATGCGGGACGGCAGAACAATTGGAGCGCGAGGGGACAAGAAGAGTTGGTCGACAGAACGAAAAGGCAGTAGAAAGAGTGAGGGAGAGACAGATGGAAAGAAAATTGGTTGTCACTTCGGCGAGAAGATTAGACGTCATCATACGATTGGCTCCGTTCTGCATCTTTTCAAAGCGAAGAATAGTCGAATATGGCGGTAATTTCGGAGAGGAATGGTCATTTCAGTTTTAGAGCTGAGGCGATTTGCTCTCTTTGTCTTTTTCTCCATTTAAATCCTACCTTCTGATGACCGACTTTGAAATAGCAAATCAAAGAACCAGACCGGTTAAGTTAGTATGAACCCCTGGGGCTAGCGCCGGCACTGCGCCACTGAAATATTTCGTCAACTCTCTGAGTGGCCAATGCGATCAGATTTCCATAAAACGACCGATTATTATGACTCAATTAGCTCCCGGAATCCAGATCTTTTTTTAATGTTAAACTGTCTTCCTTCTAACTTTCTCCCTAATCCTATCCTAGGTCTGGCTTCATAGCACCTTTTCTAAGATGTTTGGTTTTAACGACTGCCGCCTGCAGCTAGTACCAGTCAAAACCGACTATCGAGTTACCATAGTCAGTGACGTGTCCAAGAGAGGGGAGAGGGGGGGAGAATCTCAGTACGTTGATTTGAATGAAATCCCGTTGAGTTTCGGTGACTAAATTTCGTCCCATTTAGCAACTGTATCTGGCGATGTTGCCCCTTGTTTGTAACCCATTTCTCAGCCTAGTCGTTGATTGGAGGTCCCAGTCCTCTCGCTTTTACACGTCTCGTCTCGTGGACCAGGCTTTTTACTTGCACGGCATATCATCCCTTGCCTTTCACTCTTTACACCGTGCCGCGACTTCCCGTGCGCCGCACGGCGCACGCTCTGAGACGGTGTCACGGAGCTCCCAGCTCACGGTGACGGGGTGACGCGGCCGCCGGTCACGTCACGGCCTCCGTCACGGTGCCACCGGGGCGTCACGCGCCGTCACGATGTCACGATAGTGGCGGGCGTCACGGCGCGCGGGCGCCGCCCGGTACCGGCCTGGTTTCGTGAGGAGCCGCGCGCTGCGTGTGTGAGATGTGTAACACCAGCCACCCGCCACCTGGTGTGCTGTTTGTTTTGAAATGTTTCGACACCTACGTGCTGGATTGGAGTCCGATTTCATCTCATTTCGGCGGCATCGACATTCCGACCGTTCACTGGCGCGGCGCGGCGCGGCGGGCTGCCAAACGCTATCTCTCCATCCCATTCACACCTGTCCGAGATGGGTGATAACACCAGACACCAGTGTCCTGCTAACAGCCCCAGCTGACCACCCCGGGGAACCACCGCTGTCGGCACCCTCCCACCCGTCCCACACACCCACCCACCTCCCACTCGTCCCGGCGGCGTGTGTCCCCCGGCGGCGTGCCTCCCGCCGCCTCCCGCCGCCTCCCGCCGGTCGGAGGGCGTTAATATTCAGCGCGCCGGCCACTGAACGGTCCAAGCTCGGCGCGCGGCGGCAGCGACTTTCTCCCAGTCGGCGCGACGACCTGCAGTCGCAGCCTCCCTGGTATGTGGCGCCCGAGGGTGCCGACGCACGGGCAGAGGGCAGGTGTGGGGCCAGAGGGAGGCACGGGTAGAGGTGAGAGCCGGCGCGGCCCGAAGGGTCAGCCGCTGCAGCGGGCCTCAGAGCTGCGCAGCTGTGACGGCCGGGTACACTGCCGGCTAGGATTGGATGGTTTGAAGGTTTGGAGCGATGAGAGACGATTGAGGTGGTGAAGGCACGTGAGATGTGAGACAATACATCTGCGATAGGAGGATTGTAATGAGCGGGAAGTATGCGGATGAGACGACCGCCCAGATTATTGGCGTGGGAGGGAGATGAAAGTCGGAATGTGATAAAAGCCTCGATGGGTTTATTGGTTATCACAAAAGCGAGTCATGCTCATGCTGAATTGGCGACCTGGGGTAGACGCTGAACGCTCGCTGATGGGTTCTTGACTTGTGTCAGTGGCTGGATTATAGTCAGTGTGGTTGGTGGGCGGTTTGAGGCTGTGATACATATGTACTCACTGCGGCTGTTGGCCGTCGGTGAGCGGGTTGAAGCTGTGCGCCGCCGACAGTCGTCGCCCGCTGATGGTGCCTCCCTGCTGCAGGATGTTACCGTTCGTCGTCAGACGCAGCTTCTGACCGGGTACTCGCTCTGGCAGCACCTGGCAACACGACAAATCGTGGTCAGATCGGGCGCTTGCTCTGGAAATGCCTGGCACCACGACAAAACAGACGGCTGTAGACACGGATGCTTTAGCGAACCGCGATCCCGTGGCCTATCGGGCTATTATGCTTGAAAGATGATAAATCGATCAGCGATGGCTCCAAATTATACAAATTATACTAAGCGCGCTAAAATTATTTCGTAAATGTCCTTCTGTCAAGCGTCCGTCAATCTTGTTTGCATGCCATTAATTTTCTTTGAAGGATTGATTGGAAAATAAACGATCATGGTCGGGACAAATTTGATGTCGGGGTCAGCGCCATCTATCGTGGTCGGTATGCGTCTCATTACCGGCAGAATGGCGGCCTGTCGGCGTCGTCCAGCGCCGATCCATTCTGTTCGTGCACGGCTGGTGCCTTATATAATGAAACTGGGGAAAAGTGTGCCGGTCCCATCACTCGTCCCATTATTAGCCACCTGTTTTAGCTGAGCCTGTCGCAGCGCGCGCCCGCAGACGGCCGGCCCGCCCCCGTGTGTTTGGCCCAGTTACTCGCAGTGATTCACCGACATCGTCACACGGCGCTGGCAGCACACTTTTCTCACAAAACACCCCAATTGGACAGCAAGAAACGTTCCCGCGCCTAGTTTCGATTTGCCGTGTCGGCGTCGCCGCCTCCGGCGCGGCGGCGAGGTGGGCGCGAGCTGGGGTAAGTGCGCACCGGGCCATTACACGAGGCACCGGTTCCCATGGACGCGTGGGTCCGGCTGGGGAGAGTCTCCGCACACCACCCGCCGCAGCCGCCGCTGACGACACTGGTAAACCCGGCCAGCTGGTCGGCAGACTGTCATTCATACTCTCATATGAGTCAGAACCATAAGAGGCTACCCATGACTTTCTACAGGTTTGCGGCACATTACAAGCTACTTCATAGACCTACAGTGCGGTGGGGCACGTGTCAAGCGCCGCCGCTGTCCCAGAACTCACTTTTCTGACGGGCGTGGCGTCCTGGATGCCACCATACTTGAGCAGCTTCTTTTCTCGTTCACGTGGGAATGAGTGCGACCAGGCGGGGTTCAGCTCCACCGTCTGCGAGTGATGGTTTCCCATGGCGCCGGCCGGCGGTCTCACTGCTCTGACCTGGGGAAGCAGAGGGATACGTCACGGTCACAGCGGCCCGCTCAGGGTCACAGGTCAGCGGGGTCACAGGAGGTCAGCGGGGAGCGCCGCTAGGGTCAGTGGCCCCAGCGGCGCACCGTGGCGGCGCCGGCGGCCGGCGGGCGGTGCGTGGAATCGAACTTCAGTCATTAGCGCCCACACTGCCGCTGCGTCAGTGCTGCTTAGCCTACTCGTGCATACATAAGCCTACCTAATCCAAAACTCTCACTTGGCAACGGACACCGGACAATGCACTGATCCTTCGGAGCCCCAAAGATTGGACAGTCCGTTTCCCTGGCAGTACAGGACAACTCTCTCACGGCGTCGGCCGTCAATATCCACGGACTCACGGGTCACGATGGGCCGTAGGTACGTCACGTCGGTCACTCCTTCATGATGTGACGAATGGGAATGCGAGAGCGAGATCGGCACGCCAACGAAATGCATATTAAGACACTTTCTTTTCATCGCCTAACGGAATACCAATGACGATCAACAAGAAGTGAGAAACTGCACTCCGTTTCCAATTCGTAATTATACGGGTTAGAGGTGTGTGTACAAATAGGTGAGGAGGACGGGACTGCTGAGACTGGGGCGCGAGTCAGCTGCATGGTTGGGTGGTGAAGCTCCTCGTTTGGAACAAAGTCGGCCACCTGAGGAGATCGCGCTGCTGGTGGGACCAGCAGTCTCATTCTCCGTGCGCAGGGTGTGTGACAGTGACGGCGCGGGGCTCCCGGGTGGCCACCGGCGGCGCGTGCCAGACTGACCGGTGGTCGCTGACCAGTGGTCGCTGACCGGCCACACACGGAATACGGAACACGGAACAAGGCATAGCACGGCACGAATGATACCGTATTAAATACGGGTCGGTACGACATGAAACGCGCACCGGTACGGCAAAAAAGTGCAGTTCCCACAGAACGACTCGCATCTAATGCATCACATCTGGCCCGATCTGGTATAGCGTGATATAGAGAAAAACACGATACAAGTCCCAAAACTCGAGAGAGCGTCACTTGAGGTATAACAGAAACTTTCAGAAGGGCCTCTTCAAGACATGGGGCTTCTGCGACATAGCCTCTTGCATGCAAAGAGGTTTGCATGCAAAGAGGCCAAAGCGGGCTGCCATTGCATACAAAGCATAAATAACGCGCACCAACTGCTAATGCGCAGCAAACACGCAGCGGACAATCGTGCTACACTGGCTTGCGCCTATGGATAGGTCAAAGATAAAAGTAACTTCACCGCATAGCGCTGAAATGTGACGGAACCTGCTATGATCTGCACTTACATACACTCGCATAATTGTAATGTGCTTCATAACTTTATATTATTGTCTAACTGTAACTGTAGTTGTGTTAGGTGTTAACATGTGTTTTGTGAAGGAAACAAAGCATTCGAGCTTTGAGCAGTGAAGTACATATTATGAGCGGTTATTCACTCAGCAGCGCCATGTGTGATCCGGCAGCATAACCGGATGCGTCGTAGCAAGGTGTGACGGAATGGGATGTTCGAATCACTGGCGCAGGCAGTAATTGACACCTGACAGTAGCAATGGTATACCTACTACAAGGCCACCTTCACGGCCACTGCCTGTTCGCGGAACGGTTGCCGGTAGACATGGCAACTGGTGCATGCCCGTGTAACGAACAGTGTGCAATTCGTTTGATTTATTGACGCTGAATATGTTTTCAAACTGCTTTCGAGTGTCGACAATAAATAATACGTGAAGCGTTTCAGTTTTTTGGAATAACCGCCCAAACCACACCACCTACAGACACGATTCAACCACCAATCGACAGCTCTCGATCGTGGCTATGTGCGCGGCACATTTTTAATCGCATTTGCACCCCCCAAATAGCCAAACTCGGCCCCTCGACTATGTCGCCCGACGCTCCAGAGATGGCGCTGACTGTCTGCGTGACGTCAGCTCACACGACCGGCGATCGCCAATCATAAAACGTTTATGTCACCGCTGGACAACCAATTCCAGCGGCCTGTCTTGCTTTTGCCCTCTTTTTCTGAAAAAAATGGTCAAGAAACATGGCGTATAACCTTCTTTTAAAACCAAATTTGCTGCCAACCACTTCGCCGTAAAACGCCGCAATACGCACCAGACCATGTCATCAATCCGTGCAGGGTACCTAGGCTTATTCAAAGCAATGGTTTGCGTCCTTGATAGCTCAGTTGGTAGAGTGGTGGACTTCTGTGGTGTGGGTCGCTGGTTCGATTCCAGCTCGGAATGTTTTTAAAACGTACCGTAAGGTGGGGCTATTTGAGACAGTGGGGCTATTTGAGACAGTATTTAAAATCGTTATAAAATAAAAACCGTTTGAAATTTATGCTTAATTTTTGCTCAGGCGAATTTACTGCTCGATTCCACACCTTCCTGAGCAAAAATATCACATAAAAATCAAACGCTCTTCATTTTATAGCGATTTTAAATACCGTCTCAAATAGCCCCACTGTCTCAAATAGCCCCACTTTACGGTACTTACATCTTTAGTTGCAGTACCCGGCCGCTAGGGTCGCGACCCCTTAGAGGTCGCTGCGGTCCCCGCGTGACCGGCCGGCCGCAGTCACGGGCCGGCGGCGGCGCAGCACGGTACATAGAATACTAGGTAACACCGGTTTGTCCGCTCAACACAGGGTCAATGGTCACCACTTTCTTCAGCTGACGTCTGTGACCTTGAGCTGACCTAGGACGATAAACAGCTGACAATTTAAGCTATTTGGAACTCACTTGACAGCTGAAGAGCGTGATTTAAATTATAAATATTTGTCAGACACTGACAAAAGATATTATTCACCAATCATTTTTTAAGCATATTCTGTCATAAATTAGCTGACTCCCTCCGGTCTTCCACACGGCAGAAAATGCAAGTGCAAATTCTGTCATCTTGAAGTGAACCAAACGCTTATGATACACATGATCGTTTCTCTCAGAGCACAACGAAAACTGCGAGAAAACAAGAGAGAGTCGGACTCTACAAATGGATGAATTTGGAAGAAAAATAGCTGTATTTTTTTCTGTGGAAATGTTGACTTTTAAAACATTGGCCATCAACTTTAAAATTGCCCCCAAATATGAAAATGTGTGAATTGACAAAACAGGCAATCTTGCTGTTTTTGCCCAAGTTTGTTCATGATTTAGAGAGATTAGATGCGAAAATGCACTGATAAATACTTTTGAAAGCGAGGTTCACTTACCTGGTTCACTTACCTGGTTGGGTTCCAACAATGTCCAGTAGGATAGAGATAGGAGAGTCAAGAAGAGGAATTTAGGAACCCCGTACACAAGGGACGTGCCAGCCTTGCAAAGCTATACAAAAGACACCTATCATGGAAAGTGGGCGGCTGGAAAGTTGCGTCCCGTCTGTGAGATTACATCTGAATGTTAAGGCATGAATACATAAGTGTTAAACAGTTGTACATTCGTTGTGTGGAATAGTTAACAAGAAGGTAGCATAAGATAGACGACATCAAACATATGCATACAGCAAATCATGTATATCTCTGTGTAGGCCCTGCTTGAATGACGAAATGGTAGGAGCGCACACCGTGGCGTCAGACAGAGAGTTCCAAACATGTATACACCTAATTGCAAACGACCTTTTACGCACATCTGTGTTGACGGCAGGGAGAAATGCTTTGTACCTGTGTCCACGGGTTCTGGTTAGGGTGGGCTGGGCAAATAGTTCAGCCGGCAAGATACATGAGTGGCCGTGAAAAATCTTCCAGCACTGTATGAGGTCAGCCCGTAGCAGTCGGCCTTGGATAGAGTAAAGGTTTAGGAGCTGTAGACGCTCTCCATAGGGGAGAAGGGCCATACCGTCAATCTGCTTTGTCCAGCGACGCTGGATTCGCTCAAGTAACCGCAAATCCTGGACAAATCCGGTGTGCCACACGCAAGAGCAGTATTCAATTAGCGGCCGGATGTGCGTAGTTAGTAAAAACAACATAAACTTCTGGGATCGGCACACAGTTGACCTGAGGAAACTATGGGCGAGGCCACCAGCTTTGTGAGCAATCTTATGCACATGACCATGAAATTTTAAATTGGTGTCTACAAGAACTCCAAGGTCAGTTGCTGAGGACACGGAGGGGATAGGTTGGCCATTCAGGGTGTACAAGGGAGGACCCGAGAGAGCAGAAAGTCTGGAAAAGCGGAGAACAGCACACTTTTTGACATTCATGTGTAATCCCCATGAAGCCGCCGTACTATAAAGAATGTCAATGTCACGCTGGACAGTAGTCGGGGATGAGGGAGCATGTGCGGGAGAGCTAGGGTATTCTATGCATGCATAAATCTTAAGGTCGTCGGCAAAAATCTTATGACTACAGGAAAGTTCAGATGCAATACTGTTAACGTATACTAGAAAGAGTAATGGCCCTAACACCGACCCCTGGGGAACACCGCTAAGAACCGGCCTTGGTTGGCTGGTGTGGTTTTGGATACACACACTCATTGAGCGATGGGTGAGGAAAGAACGGATGGCAGAGAGTGTTCTACCCTGGATTCCCAAACATCGTAGTTTCTCAAGCAGCAGGACATGGGCCACGACATCAAAAGCCTTGCTGAAATCAAAGAGAATCAAGTCGGTGACTCCTCCTCTGTCCATACTCTTAGATACATTGTCATAGACCAAAAGGAGCTGGTCCATGGTAGACCTGTTAGCCCGAAACCCATATTGATGAGAGGACAGGATATTGTTAGACTCGAGATAGTTTGTAAGGTCTTCGCAAAGCAGGCGCTCAAATGTTTTACTACACACTGAAGTAAGGCTAATAGGACGATAGTTGAGTGGATCAAATCTTTCGCCTTTCTTAAAAATGGGAATGACAAGGGAGGATTTCCAGCTCGAGGGAAGGTTGCCTTCAAGGTAAGCTCGGATAAAGACAGTAAGAAGAGGATAGGCCAGAGAAGTAGCACAACGCTTGAGTAAAATAGGATGTAGGTTGTCAGGGCCAGCGGATGTATT